TGTGTGTGTGTGTGTGTGTGTGTGTGTGTGTGTGTGTGTGTGTGTGTGTGTGTGTTTCTCCGGAATTGTTAAGGTTTCAACTACAAGCTATCTTATCTAAGTCTAGTCCAAAATTTCTAGATCAGTGGTTCCAAAACTTTTTCTTGTAATTTTTGAATTACAAGAATTGTTTATGTGCCCGACTGACTTTTTTCAACAGATGAACAAGGAAATCAATATCAGTAAATAGATATATATTGCAATAAAATAAGCTAGTTTCCTTCTTAAATCACAAAACTACCATCTTTTAAATTTTATTATTTTATTACTTTAACCATTTATTTTACTGTTTAACACAGATTTACATTTTGATCAACAAATCTTGTTGAAAAAGCCCTCAAAGTGTGTAGTTATGAGAGATATGATGCTTCTGCATTTAAACGTTCACTGTTCTAGATTACTATTTTTTGTTAGATAAGGCAGAGAAACTTAAAATGTCCTCATAAAAATAGAAATAAAAACATACGCTCACATCCGCTGTGTATTTGTGTGAACAGTGCTGTGAATTCTGTAGGTTAAGGCTAGTGTTATCAATGTTATGGTAATGGTTAGGGTCATACATAAATGCGGCTTAAAAAATGAATGGCTGTCAATGCAAAGTCTGCCTGTAGGGTGTGGATGTGTGTGTGTCAGCTATTTTATTTACCACTGTGCTTTGTTTTCTCGATTTATAGCGTTTGAGGACAGGCTTGGGAGGATAGTTTCACTTTGCATCAGTTTGCATTTTCGAGGTTACACCTTTTTAACTGATGCTGCAGATCTTTGGACAGGAAGTAAACCTGAAAACCATGTGCATACAACAAAGGATAAAAAAAATAAAAAGACTTGAAAGCCAAAGATGTTTACTTTTAAAAAAATTATTGAAAGTCAAAACCAGAAGATAGCACAGATTAAATATAAAGACAACCATTTTGGGAAATAACATAAATATTTCTGTTTGTTGAATCCCAGAATAATGGGAAACAGGACTTTTGTCTCTATGCTTAGAAAACACTCTGATGAAGATGTCTCAGCCTTGTTGTGAATTTGGTAAATTCACAACAGAAGTCTTAAATAGAGGCACATATGGATACTTTTTATGGCAAAATCTCAATAACAAAGGTTCTGTGAATCTATCCATCCATTTTCTGTCATGCTTTTCCCGGCTGGGGTTGCTGGGAGTACTGGTGCTGCTATTGTATAGAGAACTTTGCGACTGGACGCTTGGTTTCATTGCGAGTCACTTACTTGGTTGCAAACACGCTACAATTTTTAGCAGCTGGCTAGCTCAAGTGGTAAGTCGCCCATCCTGCAAACAGGAAGCCTGGGTTCTTATCCAAGCTGTAGGGGAATGAGCTTCCAGTGTTGGTCCTTAAGGCTTTGGGTTCTGAGTTCAAGTCCCACTCCCACAGAGTGACACTCTGGGTCCCTGAGGAAGACCCCACACTGCTCCCCGGGCACAATGCCCAAGGAGATGGGTTAAATGCAAAATGAGTTCATTTTGTTGCTCGTGACAGTGTAATGACGCCTGAAAAAAAAACTTTTTTCGTTTTGCCATAAAAAACAAAAAAAGCTAAAGAGCCAAATGCCAATTGTTAGCGGATCAACATGCGTTTAAAACCTGTGTTAACCCTCTAATTTTAGTGGGAAAGAGAGTTTAGATTAAAGTGTTGAAGTGTAATCTGGTTTCAGAGTCGACCTTAGAAGATGTTTTTATGTGTGATTGCTTTTGGGTCTGAAAAGCAGAGGAGTGCTAAAGTGCCTTACTGCCATCAGGATGCGATTATTATAACAGTGACAATAAAGCTTTATCTCTCTTTCAACTCAGAATACTGCATTTTGTAAGTGTACAGTGTTTGCATAACTTTTCATCCTGGTCATATTGATACTGAATGCTTGAATAGATGGCAGAACAGTTTTTAGATGTTTCACTTCTCTCACAAAAAAGACCCCTATAGATGTAAATCAACAATGGGTAAGTTTCAGGCATTTGGGACACTGTGAAGTCTTACAAGTGATACTGAGACAGATGCTCAAGCCGTGTAGTCTTCCGCCATGTTTTCTACACACACTACCAGGTGTCCAATTCTTTTAACAGCTTGGATGAATAAGGACATCATGAATCTACTGGCAGGCCTTGACTCTGCCCTCAGATGAAGGGAAAACAAGCTGTAGAGCCATGAAAGTTCCAATGTCCCGGTAGGAAAAAAGCAAATTAAAGGCAGAGGATAGAAGAACATCAGTGATGTAAATGGCAAAGTATACAGCACATCACTGAACAGAAAAAGAGGGGAATTCACCAACTAATACCAGCTGTTCCCAAACAGTGGAACAGAATTATTATACGTGTTTGCTTTATTTAAGCTGCATGATGCACAGACCATGAGGGCGCCATCACCCCATCCGTTGATCGTAAAAATTCCAGGTCAGTTTCTAGAGTGTTCTCTGTGCTGTGAAAATCAATAAATCATTTGGTACAGAGTTTGCATTTTAGAGGTGTAATATGACAAATATTTCATTTTTCTTTGTCTAGATGTATTGATTCAAAATGCCTTTGTCTTTTAAAATTGTGTACAGGTCTAAATAAACACTCATTATTATCCTTAATGATCTTAAAATATAGGAATTGCTCCTTTGTTCATGAAATTTTTTTTTTTAAATGTCTTTTCCTATGTATCTACTGGTAATATGCCCATATTCACTATGCACACCTGTGCCCTGTTGCCAACCTGGATAAATGGGGGGATCCCACACTAGATTACTGACATCTCTGCAAAACCAACTATCTTCTCAGCTATATTTACGAGCCTTCTTCTTAAAACCTAAGGAGAGCCCTTGGATGTTAATCCTGCCTAAAAGTCTTTGGTTTTCAAGAGGAAACAAACCCAAATCTACCTTTGTCACCAGTAGAAACTGTTACATTCATATTGATTTTAAATCTAGAAAATATTCGAGCCGTACCAACTAAAGATTTCCCACCAACTCAAAAACATCAGTTCGAAATCTCCTGCTGACCTCTGGAAACATTAGGTCTTCCATACTCCATCTATTTGGGTTGAGGTCAGGAATTAATCCCAGGTTTACCAGACCCTTCTGCCATAACTGCTCCAAGAAAAATCAGTGGAGGAGATCCTGCCTTGTTCTTATCCAAAACACTCCCTCATAAGATAAAAAAACTACCCTCCCTTAGATACTTTGGCCTGAATGAATGTAACTCAGCACCAATAAAAAGATATTAATACGAGATAAATTTTTCCCACCACAGAAGCACTAAAAAATATATAAATACTTTCTATGTTAGAAAAGGTAACGGAAAACTAGCTCCATAGCTCACTCTGTCAAGAACTGAAAAAGTAAAAGTAAAGTAAAAAGTAAATCAGATGAGCTCTGAGCCAGTTTTCATGTCAAAAGTAATGAAAGAGTGCACATACAAACGTCAATAACAAACTGGACTAGACTCATATCACCGATGCCTTGTATAAGAAAGGCCAGAGCTGCTTCCACCCCCTTAAGAGGCTGAGGTCCTTTGGAGTGAGCAGGCCCCTGCTTAAAACTTTCTGTAATTCTGTGGTTGCATCAGCCCTCCTCTAGCTGTTGTCTGCTGGGCCCCTGGCAGTGCGGAGCGGGACAGAAAGAGACTGAACAAACTAGTGAGAAAGGCCGCTTCTGTCCTAGGCTGCACTCTGGACTCAGTGGAGGAAGTGGCTGAGAGGAGGGTGCTGTCCAAGTTTACCTCCATCATGAACAACACCCTCCACCCTCTGTACCAGGCTGTAGAGGAGCTGAGCAGCTCCTTTAGTGAAATAATTTTACAACCTGTCTGTAAAAAGGAGCGCTATTGCAGGTCATTCATCCCTGCTGCAACCAGACTCTACAATGCGACAATGCAAAAGCAATAACTTGTGCAATGTATAATGTGCAATTACTATTTGATACCCTGTGCAATAACCTGTTTCTCTATATTTGACACCCAGTGCCATAACTATATATATAAATATATATAGTTATATATATATCTATATAAATACCCATGTACACCCTGTGCAATAACCCTGTATAATAATCCTACTATAAAAAAAAAAAAAAGAAAAAATGTCATAGATGGACGAACTGTATATACTGTATATATCATACGCACCTTTTTCCTCCTCTGGGACATTCTTGTTCCCCTTTGACTGATGTAACAAGTAAATTTATCCACTGTGAGATCAATAAAGTCAATCAATCAATCAACATACATTAATCATAGTAAAAGCATAACACATAGCTATATCTAGGAGAGAAACAGGAGTAAACACAGAAAAACAGACCCAGCTCCATCATCTATAATGGGAGATGTGGATGACAGCAGGCCAGCTGATATTTTCTCCTAGGTAGGTGTTGTGGCGCAGCACGGACAAGAAGCTGAGTGCATAGAGCGAAATGGAAATCTCATCCTGAATGTGAACGACACAAGGAAGATGATTGTAGGTTTTAGAAGAAACTGCAACAAGAAGTGGGGAAGAAGTGGAGGAGAATGAATACCTTGGTGTTGGCCTAGACAACAAACCTGACTGGAAATGTAACTGTGATGACAGCTACATCAGGGGACAGAGCAGACTGTTCTTCTTAAGGAAGATAAGGTCCTTTGGTATTTGCACTAAGATGCTATCAGTCTGTGGTGGAGAGTGTGATCTCTTCTGCCATCTTCTGATGGGGCAACAACATCAGAGCAAATTATTTAAAAAGGCTCCTCCAGATCTGGTTCAAGACAGACCGCAGCAGAAGATCCTTCCTGCCTACAGCTAAAGATATTCAACAACTTGTTAAAGAAAGGCAGATGAGTTACTTCAAAATGTCAATTTCCCTTTGGGATTAATACAATGTTTTTGAATTTTACTTAATTTAAAATATAAATTTTGTTGAAACCTTTAAATCAAAAGTGGGTCACATCGACTCTGAGTAGGAACTCAAGTTAATTGTGAAAACAAAAAAAATAGTAATGTTTCTTTTAAGCCTAGGAAACATCTTGGATACATTTACAAATAAGACAGCTTCATTGGGTTATTGGTAGTGATCTTTGCGGTCATTCCAATATATTTTCTGAAACGTTAGAGGAAACTAAATATGTTTCTCTGAGGCAGAAGTCTTAATTAAACAGTGTAGGCTAATTATTAACTTTCACAAATCCTTGTCAAAGCAATTCTCTATTTTTTCCCCCCATAGTGGTTAGTTCATGTAAAAAGAACATTAATCTTAACCTTGTTAACCATCAATGACATATTCCTTCCTGCTATCTGTTTCATATAGCTCTATAGTGCTAGGTGCCTGGTAAAAGGTGTGTGACCCCTTCAGGCTCCATGCTAGACTAATGAAAATTAGAACTAGGGGGACATCTTGTGGCCCAATGGGGTACTACAGTTGTACTCCTTGTACAGATTCACTTGGTCCAGGAAAATGAACAAATTATATATTTTTTTAGCTCCAGGAAGGGTTGCAAAGATTGTGAAAATTCATAAAAGATAGCAGAAAGCTTGATAAAGAGGAAAACTGTATAACCAACTTCTAACCAGGTACCCAGCTGTGTAATAGCCCGGTATTATGATAATTTGTTGCATGTTCTTTTATGGACACAGGAGACCGATTTGTTTTTCTCCTTAACCTACTTCACATGAATGTATCTCAATCCAGCTGGACTCATAAATGCCCTTTTGTCAAGACAGCAAAATGCTGTAAAACCTGTTTCTTGTTACTAAAGGTCGTATTCACTCTGAAACCAGAAACAGCCATGTGGTGGAGTGAATCATGATGGACCCTGACCAACCTTTCACCTGTACAGGAATAAGTTGGTGTGAAGATTTAATAAAGGTATGAAAACTGACACTGAAGTGATGACATGAGCTCTACTTATAATGGCCTTTATTTATTTATTTATTTTTTCTATATTACCTGAACAGCTAAAAAAACAACAACAAAAAAACAACTTTTTTTTTACAGTAAGATAAGAAGTACAAACTTCATTTATTGCAGGGGTGGAGCTAGAGGGGGGTGGCAGGGGTGGCCTTGGCCACCCTTACCCAATCATTGGCCACCCCTGTGGTCACCCCTACCATTTTATCCCCATAATACTGACAGTGGTAGCAGTAATACTCACAAGTGATAATACTCTCAAAACATTTTAATTTTTCATAGATTAACCATTACTTGACAAAAAAAACACAGTGATTAATTATACACATCAATATACTAACATTAAAGATGATAAGTACAGAATTCATGCTCTTTTCAGAACTAGATTTTGTGTTATATGGGGCAAAGAGAAAATGCAAGTCAGTCTTCAGTTAAATAACATAAATATCTATTCTAAAAACTTAGTAAATAAACAATTTTTGTAGAGATTAGTACTTGTGAATATCAATTTTATGCAGAATGATTATTGATAAAAGTAGGTAAGTAATAACAATGAAAAAAGATGTTCAACCCAGAACTTAAAGCTGAAAGAACTTTATCCACTATACCTTTTATCTAGATGGATGTTTAAATATATGCATCTGTTTGTTAGCAAAGGCTGTAGGGAAGTATAGTTTGTCTTTATTTAGAAAATATGGATGTTGTGGTTGTTCATTTTCCTCTTGGAACAGTGTAGATTGGTTATTGCCTGACCACCCTGATAAAAATGTTCTGGCTACGCCTCTGATTTATTGAACACTCTTCATATGCATTATATGAAATTACTTGCTTCTTTATTTCTGTTATGATTTTTAATACAATAAAACAATGTATATATTTATGATATACCTATGTATATATTTTTAAGTATATTCAAAGGAAAAGAATCTCGTATTTATTTATAAATTAGAGACGTCAAAAAAGGAGGATATATATATATATATATATATTCATTCAGGCCAAAGTATCTAAGGGAGGGTAGTTTTTTATCTTATGAGGGAGTGTTTTGGATCAGAACAAGGCAGGATCTCCTCCACTGATGTTTCTTGGATCAGTTATAGCAGAAGGGTCTGGTCAACCTGGGATTAATTCCTGACCTCAACCCAAATAGATGGAGTATGGAAGACCTAATGTTTCCAGGGGTCATATATATATATACAATTACAATTGTTTTTTTAGTTTTGTTCTTTATACCTCACCAGGGCTTGCGCTTTCAAAGGGGAATAAAGTACATTTGAAGCACATTGTTTTTTATTATTTTTTTTTTACTTTTATTTTATTTGTCCGACATAGAAATATCCCCCTACACACCACTTGGTGGCGCCACCAGCAGTGAACTCAACAGTTTGAAGGCCTTTGTTCCACTCAGCAGCACTGCCGCTAAAAACCAGCAGGGGGCGCTGCTCTGTAAGAAACGCCAGACAGCAACAGGGTGCCTTCATTGTGTAGAATCTGCCTTTTCCTCAACTTTTTTTTTTAACGCTCAGGCTGCTACTGTTTTTAAAGACAAGGAGAAAGGAAGTAGCGCCAGGCTAGCTGGTTAGCCGTGTCTGTTAAGACACAGCTGACTTTTCGTTTTTTTTTTCCCCCTGCCTGAAACGAAATTTTTTTTATAAATTAGAGACGTCAAAAAAAAAAAAAGAAAAAAAAAAGGAGGATGCGGAAATTTATTTTCTCGGACTGTTTCGTTCCTCAGCGCTGAGCTTTGTCTGACTGGGAACCCATTAGCCTGCTTTTGAATCAACTCACTCCTGTTTTCTAACCGAGGAGAAGAAAACAAAGAAACAACTGGAAAAAAGCAGCAGCAGCATTGCCGTGTTTGTGAATTTAGACCAACGGTCGGTTTATTCGCGGGGAATGCTGCTGTGAGGATTAAACCAGGACAATGAGACAAACAGCAGGGAAAGGTACGTTAAAGAAATGCTGATTAGTTTTACCTAAAGCTCTGTTTCAACTTCTTTTTAAATACACCTTTTTTTCCTCTGTTAAAAGATTTATCTAATAAAGTAGCATGAATATACCTAAATTAGGATTTATTTACAGTATTTGTAAAGGAATGAATACTAAGTTATAAGAACATGGCCTCATGTTTTGTCCTGAACAGAGAGTAGCTGATATTTTATGAAATTATATCAGCATAGGTGTTGCCGAGCTGCTTAGATGTTGTCTTTAAATGCATTTTTTTTTTCTTTCTCAGACTTAACCGCATCACAGCTTGTTCATGTTTCTAAATATAACTGAGTGGATGAGTATGACTGAAACAGATGTACCACATTGTTAGACATGTCACTTCATCTGCAGCCATTCAGTCCTGGTGGGGAAACATTGCAGGAATGATTCACATGACGCTTTTGATAACTCATATGCACACTTCCTCATGTCACACAGGCAGACAATCGTTTCTTTAGAAGACGATTTAAGAAGTGAGACTTTCCAGAGTATGTGTTACATTAATATATGTAGTGATTAGGTGTTTTCTGACCAATGCTGATTTCTATACATTTTTGTCACTATAGTTTGTTTTTTCTCCTAGAATTTCAATATGTGAAGGATTAAATTAGCTGTAGGTTTTAGGTTATTAACCCTTTATAGGGCAGATTACCATTGGGTGCATACCCCTTACAAATGGAGTTCAGAGGCGTAGCCAGAAATTTTTTATAAGGGTGGCCAGGCAATAACTAATGTACACTGAGAGGGGCCAAAAGCGGATAGGCACCAGAACATCACCGTCAAACTACACAGGAAAATTAGCAAGCAAAACATCCATATTTTCTAAATAAAGACTAACTATACTTTCCTGCAGCCTTTGCTATCAAATAGAAGCATATATTTAAACATACGTAATTTCTAGATAAAAGGTATAGTGGATAAAACTCAGCTTTGAGTTCTGGGGCATAAATCAGTCATCATTGTCATGACTTACCTACTTGTATCAATAAATGTTCTGCATAAAATTGATATTTACAAGCACTAATATCTACATAAATTGATTATTTAAAAAAAGATTTTTGTTGTTTTTTTTTTATCTACGACTTCACTGAAGAGTCCTCTTTCATAATCAAAAGGATAATAAAGAAAAAAATGCTTTTGTTTAAAATAATTTTCTCTTTACCCCATATAACACAAAATTAAAAGTTAGGAAAAGAGCGTGATTTCTGTACTTATCATCTCTGATGTCAGTATATCTATGCGTATAATTAACCATAAAAAATAAAAAAAAGTTTTGAATATTCCACTTGAGACTATTAGTGCTGCCACCATCTGTATTTGAGGGGGAAAAATGTTAGGGGTGGCCAATGATTGGCTAAGGGTAACCATGGCCACCCCTGGCCCCCCATCTAGCTCCGCCCCTGATGTCCCCCCCGTCCCTCAGTGATATCTATAAGAACAAGATCTTTTTCCAGTGTACTGTGAATTAAGTTAAAAAAAAACCTTAAGCCATGAAAAAAAGGTAAAAATAAAAGTGAATTGAAAAATTGAAAACTTAAAAAGTAAATAAGCCTAGTTAACAATTATATTTAGGTTTATAAATTAAAAAAATGTGAGTGCCAGTATCAGCATTAATACCTCTAAGGTTATGTTGTACCAAAATAAAATCTCTTTCTTTCTTTCTTAGTGTTTTTCGTGAATTTCTTCTTATTTTTCTTAATATATTCGGGAAAATTGGCGTTTCTTGTTATTACATTGACATACATTTTTTGCCATCAAAATTTCCATATTTTTGGAATGTTACAAAGCTAATAAGGTCTTGTCCTGGATTCCAATAACACCATTGGCTTGATATTTTGATTTTCAAAGTATTTCACTGAGTGCCCTATAAAGGGTTAAAACTAGAGACGCACCAATCCCTTTTTCCCCAATCCGATACGATACACAGGTTTCGATAATCTGCCTATATCTGATACTACTGTTGAATGAATTAACTGTATGGCCCCTAATATTAACACTATAAATGACCCCTCACACCCCCACCATGGACTGTTCTCCCTGCTGCCCTCTGGGAAGAGGCGCCACAGCATTGGATGCAGAACCAGCAGGTTCTGCAACAGCTTCTTCCTCACTGCCATCTGCTAAGCTGTTGAGAAAACTCTAAATCATGTCACAGACTCTGCATCACACTGATAACACCAAACCAAAACACTGCAGAATTGCACCATATATATTTAATGTTCTGAACTTCCATATTAATGCATTTTTTGTATGTTTTTACACAGTTTAAGAAATGGAAAGGAAAGCTGTACAAAATGAAATTTGGTTTTTTATACACAAAGTGTATACTAAACTCAATTAAAACAAAGTTGTTTTATTCCAATTCTAAACCTTGCCGTGTTATTAAAGGTATCATATAAAGGTATCATCCTTAATGATCAAAGCTGATCAAGGAAATATTGGTAGATCTCTGGCTGAATACTGGGTCAACATATTTTCTTATGGATCTAAAATAATTGATCTGCTCTCCTAATTAACAGTTAAGTTACAGTGGGTAATAAGTATGGGTGCTGGGTTTGATGTTTCCACTTAGCAAAATACAGTCCAATTAATTTGAAAATGTCATGATTACTTTTATAATGATATCATTTAAAAACACAGCAATGATAATATAATAATGATAAAACATGTCTAAAGTATCAAACAAATATCTAATATACCTAGAGAAATAAAAAAAAATATACAATATAAAAGATATATAGTGATTACTAGACAGGTGATGTTTTCTATACTACCAAAGCAGTAACAGAATACCCCAGAATTTCCCTAAAGTATCACTTTTCAAATAGCTCCAGGTTCTTCCATCTGTTTTAAATATGTGGAAATGTTGGCATTAGAAGGAGCATCCCTCACCACATGTTTCTACACCATACCTCCTTAAAGCACGGACAAACATGCAGCCTACAGAATGGCTCACTGCCATCAATTGAAAGAAAGGGACCATATGGCTCCCCACTAATGGTTTCTTCCCTGATAGCCCTGCTACAGATCTGACAGTGGAGGGGATGAGAAGGGGGATGGGAAGGAGCACCAGCTAGCCTCCAGTTTGCAGTTGAACTGTCCGCATGTCTTACTGGTTTGTGTACAATCGTGGAGGAACAGATGCCTGCCTCAAAGGATCTTGGTTTGCCATCTCTCTAATTAGCCTGCAGGAGATCAAGATTGGCCTTATTAGATCTCAGCAGTGTTATTATGTTTGATAGAATCACCCCTTTGAGTTTTTTTTTTCCATCCTGGGTGTCTATCAGATTGCAGACTTTTTGTGTTCCTGGTAATCCTGTGGCTTTGGAACTGGTTTAGTTGGTTAGCTCTGATGACACGAATGATTAAGTTGTTTTTTAAATCTGTTGCAAAACTAACCAGAATATTACTAAACTCGAGTATGGGCCTCCAATTTGCTTTTTTCTATGACTTAAGAGGTGTGGGGTTTATAGGCTGCAAAGTGAACTTCCGTGTAGGTTAGAGTAAATCTTTAAACACCTCTGTTTATGTGCTTTATCTGGAGTGATTCTGTATTTTAGTATTGGTGGAAAACCGTTTTTAAGCTTTGTGTTTAAACCTTATTGGAATTAAACTAATTCAGATTATTCTGGAGTTTTCTGTGTCCCTTTTAAAGAACCTAAAGTCTCAGACAGAATGAGTGCAGAGGACCAGGCTGAGGCTGATGCCCAGAGACTCCTAATGAGTCCCTTAGCAGCATGCCTTGTCTCTGTGCAGCTGGTGCACCTGGTTATGAAGGTTACGGGAGACACGACGTCCATATCTGCAGTCTCACAGCTTTATGTGAAAATTCTCATTAGGTTCTTCTTTTATATCAACATGATAAGACAGAATAATAGCGGCTTAAGGAAAACAGAATAATAAGTTTGCTTTTGTGAGGTATAAACCCCTGTGTGCTTATTGGAGCTGGTCATTTCTAGCTTTATATTTGTAATTTTTGGGAGGGAAGTCAGTTTGTTTTGTTTTTTTTCCTCACTTCAAATCAAATGCTGGAAAGTTTTTTCCTAAAGAGAGTCTTGTTATGGACCCAATCACGCTGCTGTGATCCCATACAGGACCCTGAAACCGGCCCTAGAAACATACCCTGGCACAGTTTATCCAAAACCTGCAGAGGTTCGCTCTTAAGGCTGATTTACACTCAGTTACCAGGTTTTCTGTGCAGATATGCCCCCACCCCTTCCGCAGACACTCCGAAAATAAGGCAGACTGCAGACAGGTGGGATCTGATTTGTCAAATCTACATCCGTTCTACACTATGTGTATTTCCAGTTTGGTACCTTAGTGGCTTGTTTTGTTCGTATGACCGCCATTGTGGAAAACGACTAGTGAAGATGGACCAGCTAGAAGAGCGAGGTGCGCGAGAATGCTGGGACACTTTTTTCCACCTGGATCCCTGCTCTTTTTCACGCTCATGTCACCCCGTTGTCGAACAAAGTTGCCCCCCTGTGTCTCTGTATCTAGACCCACAGCTAGTTCAAGATTGTCCGTCTTGGGTTGTGGCGTGGAATAACTTAGCACAGACCACGTTTCAAAGTTGGGCATAAATATGCATCAAGCTCACTACGACACACTGCTGCGGTAGTATAACCAGCCCTTTATTGTGAATGCCAGCTGTCCCAGCGTACCTAAAGCAGGAAGACAGGATTAGATGTAAGAGTATCACATTTAGTTAGAAGAAGAGTAAAAATGAAGATGGCATGTTTGAATGCTCATTGAGGTAGTGTTTTTTTGAACCAACTGGTCATTCATCTGAAAGTGAGTGGAAGAAGCAGCTGAATTTTAAAGAAAGACGCTGAAAGATGATTAAATGTCTTAGAAAACCTTTGATCCAGGCAATCTTAGACAGTTACAGTCAATTCTGGCAGTGTAAAAAGAATACACAGATTACACACAATTTATTTATAATATATATTATTTA